CCTTAAAGATGGGGTCAGTGCTGGTGCTGAAAACATCCTTGAACTCTTTAAAGATGGCTTCAGCCCCTTCGTCCTTCACGGAGTTGATGCTGGTCACTTCCATTCCTAAAGCTTGGAATCAGTCAAGCCCCAGGAGGCTTTGGAGGTTTCCGCTGACCAGTCACAGGGAGATTTCCGCTGAAACGTTTGTAGTTCACCCGGAAGGTGCCTTGGCCCACTATGGGGACTTGGTTCCCTGGTAGTTGCACAGGCGGACGTCAGGGTTCCTGTAGCTTTGGGATCTCCTGCTTGAGGACTGACCATAGAATTATGGTCGTGACGATCTGGTGTCGATCTCCATTTCACATGGAGAGTCCTCAATGAGGATAGTGACTTTCAGCTTTTGGGGGCACCTGGTATGGATTTGTCTAACCGGGACAATGACATTCAGCTTCCTTAGGCACCCGGAGCGGATTTGTGTGACCGACGTGTGGTTGGCGACCCTGTTGTCGCTTTCTGACAGCCGTGGGTACTTTTGCCAAACCCCCAGTTTGGACCGCTGTTGGCAGCTTTGCGACCCTCTGGGCTGTCTGGTGGCAGTAGGGAATTCGCTGCGGCACACCTTGGTAATGTGCCCCTTTCGCTCGCATCGCTGACAAGTTGCTTCACAAAAACGGCAAGATGCTTGGGCATGGTCTCCTCCACAGCTGGCGCAGGGTGGAGTTTGGGAGTTGTATTTTCACACCGTCTTGGCGCGGCTACTGGGCATGCTGTTCTCTCTGCTTTCGGAGCTCAGTGGTTTCACGAAGTACATGGGTACTCTTCCACGCGTCTTGAGGTGTGCAAAATCAGCTCGTCCAGGTCTCGGAACTCACAGTAAGCTGCGGCTTTTTGGAGCGCTGCTACATACTCATTGATGGATTTGCTCTCCTTCTGGTTCCTGATGTTGAATTCCTGCCAGTGAACATATTTAGATGGCTTGGACGTGTAGGGAGTCTTCAGTGTTTGTTGCAGGGCAGACCAGGACACAGCTTGGAATTGGTTCTGAGAGGTTTTTTGCAGTTTTGAGCACTTCCCAGCCACAGTAACCCAGGAACATGTTCTTCTTACAGGCTTCAGGATCCGTGAGATCGTTCGCCTCGAGGAAACACTCGAATCGTAACATGATTCCCAGTGCTCGGTAGTTGGATCATATGGAGTTGGTGGAGCATGCGTAGCCATCCTGATTTAATTTCGTCTTCAGCGATGGTTTGCTTGATGCCTCACAGGATTCTCCAGCTGGATGGCTGGAAGTACTTGCAAGATTCTGTTTGCTCTTTTTGTTTGCCTAGTTGCCTTCCGATCCCATCCTAGTCGCCAGTGTTAGATCGGGTAAAGAAGACACACAAAGGCTTATGGTAAACTACTTAAGTTTGGAGTTACTAGAATCCTTTTCTGCACAAAACAAGAGGTGAATTATTTTCTTGCTGCTCTGAGTTTATTTTTTTATTCAGGAACTATTCTTGCTTTCTGAATGCAATGGGGATGGATCTTTATATTCACTGGAATTCAGGAAAAAAACTGTAATGTTATACATTTATAACATATAACATTTGAATATAACATATTCAAATGGCATATTATATGCCATTTGAAATAGGCAATAGTTAGGAATAGTCCTGATACTTTTTGGATCTGGAATGCTTTTGATGCCATGTTAATTGATTTTCAGTGGAGTTATAACTAGAATGCAGCAATGAATTAATTTATATAATTTTGCACAAGATATATTATAGATTTTGTCTAGAATTATCCTAAACTCCACATTCACAATTTTTTAGTTAAGAAATTTATGCAGGTTGCATCCTATTGCTGTCCAAAGGGTGGCAGAAATTGGAATTTTATCCAGTGTACAATGAAGAAAAGACAATATTTATGAATACTTGATTAGGCTGCATCTGAGAATGCTGTAAAAAGCCACAGCAATCAATGCTAAGTATCCAGTATGAGAAATGGGAGGGACAGAGAGAGGGAGGGAGGGAGAGAATATACACAAGGGAGTTTCTGGGAAACATAGCAGAGTTTCTGAAAACTGCTAAGATGTCTAGTTAGTGCTTCCAGGAGATATGTAGCATGAGGAGCCTAAAATCATATAAAACATTTTATTTAAAAAAACCAACCAAGTTCAAAACATTCTTCATATCTGAAATAACATTCTTGCACTATGATGCTAATGGACCAATGTTGTCTGTCTTGGTAACGGTTGATTATAAGAACTATAATAGCACAAAGCAATTGACCTAAGCAGGGCAATTCAATTGAGAAACTTCAGTGAAAAATACCATTTTTAACCTTCGCTGGTGTGGTTTCTAAAACAAGCATCTGATTAAATTGTAAAGGCTTTAACCCCACCAAAAATAAATTAGCAAATTTATATAAAATGAATAGTGTACAACATAGTAAAATTGTAATTTAAAGAAGGAACAGAGATTATAATTCTTACATCAATCAGAAAAGCAGGATTGTCTTTGATTAGCCTACATGATTTCAATATTGATTCTTTCTCTGTCTTTAGATTTAAAAAATGGATGGAAAAGCCACTACAGTAAGGGAAGGGCAATGTTGGAACTACTAGGTGGGAAGTGCGAAGGCTCGGTAGTTCGCAGCTATAATTGTGACTTCAGGAAGCAAAACAGCAGCTTTAACCATGGCCTATCAATACAATACAATACAATAGCAGAGTTGGAAGGGACCTTGGAGGTCTTCTAGTCCAA